TTGCCATGAAATTGAGCAAAGTGCAGAACACACACACACATGGATATATATATATATATATATATATATATATATATATATATATATAGGATATGGCACAACGGGAGCGTTGTCAACAAGGATAAATATATTTATTTCCCAACAGTTTCGGGAGGGGACCTCCCTTCATCAGGGGATGAGTTATACTGACATGAGCTTCCAAACATCCTTGCTGCCGCGTCCCTCTCGCCTTGAAAGACGTTTGCGAGAGTGAGAGGGAACTGGAAGAAGGAAAAAAAAAGGAAGTAAAAAAGAGGAAGAACCACTGTCAACACTGAGAACGAAGCCAACTGTCCGTCTACATCCACCTACGGTTCATATCACGTGCTGTTCAGTTCTTGGCGTGTGTCGGGCCACCCAAGATTGTCGCCGCGGTGCCGGGAAGGTCCGGGACGGCGTGCCTAAAGAAAGGGGTTTCCCCGTAATTGGTCGTTCGGCGGGCGGCGGGTGGTGTGTGTAAAGGAAAGGTTTCTCGTTAATGGGTCGGTCGGCTATTTACCTTTAATCTTCGTCCGTTTCCCTTCAAAGGTCATGAAGTGGTAGGCGAACGTAAAGACTTTGTATGTGCATGTGAAAAAAAAAAAAATGGCACGCCGTCCCGGACCTTCCCGGCACCGCGGCGACAATCTTGGGTGGCCCGACACACGCCAAGAACTGAACAGCACGTGATATGAACCGTAGGTGGATGTAGACGGACAGTTGGCTTCGTTCTCAGTGTTGACAGTGGTTCTTCCTCTTTTTTACTTCCTTTTTTTTCCTTCTTCCAGTTCCCTCTCACTCTCGCAAACGTCTTTCAAGGCGAGAGGGACGCGGCAGCAAGGATGTTTGGAAGCTCATGTCAGTATAACTCATCCCCTGATGAAGGGAGGTCCCCTCCCGAAACTGTTGGGAAATAAATATATTTATCCTTGTTGACAACGCTCCCGTTGTGCCATATCCCATACCTTCACGAAGACTAACTGGCCCATTGAATTATTACTCCCACTATATATATATATATATATATATATATATATATATATATATATATATATATATATATATATATATATATATATATATATATATATATATATATATATATATATATGAGATCTAACAGACAATATTGCCAAGGAAGGTATAGGGGAAGTTATTAGGCCAATTGAAATGTAAATGAGGAGAAAGAAAAGTGGGTGAAAAGATAACTTGCCGTGGGCAGGATCCGAACCTGCGACCATCGAATAACGCGTTCGATGCTCTACCACTGAGCTACCACGACAGCTATCCCCCCAGCCACTTTATCGGGTATCTATGTCAATATAAACGTGGAAGTGTCAGTCAGTGCCACTAGTAGCCATGGCGGCGAGTGTGGCACACTTTTTATGAGCCTGTTTGGCGTCACGTAGAACGTGAACTTGTTACTAACTGGCAGCTGACCAAATAGTCTCTCGTATACAACCCAAAGGCACTAAGTCTGCCAGTACGAGACCCTCGTGAATGAATAAGGGAAACAAGTGTATACTTAAGGGCTCGTTTTTCGTGTTTCTTTTCGAGCCATATGATGACCCGAGTTGATGTAGGTATAAAATAATGTGACCATAGATAAAACCTTCAAATAATTTGCAATTTTTTTTAAAAACGCACTAAGAGCTTGGTCAACGGTGGAAGTGCTCCACTGCTGAGTCTGCAGAACTTGCCCACCTCCTACACTTTCGATATGCTCTGGGACAAAAATTGTCCGTAGGAATACACTCACACATGTCAAAAATTGACCAACCTAGCTACAATTAGCAGCCAATCATGAAATTCATTTTGCAAACCACCGTTGAAATATCTCCATGAAACAGGCCTTTATGCAAATGTCTGTTTCAATTTCCTCATTATATGCCCCGTGTGACCCAGAGACGCAGATATCTACATTTGCACCTGACATGTGTGCCAAGCAAAGGAAAAATGAGTTGAAGCAACCAAACGCTGCCATAATAACTCCGCAACTCATTTAAAAAAAAGGCGAAATGAAAGAGCACCTCTGCAGTTAATTGGGAAAACCCTTAAACGAGGAAAAGAAAAAAATCCAGAAAGCCAAAATTAATCCAGAGTCTCCTACTATGTCATACATCATAATTATAGTTTATCTGAGAACCCCAGAAATAAATTATTATAATCATACACCTTCCACAGGTTATATCTTCTAACTCATTCACGTGCATTTCATGAAGATATATATTTAAAAAAAGTCGAGGCAGTAGCTCAGTGGTTTTTAGGTACACGGCTGCTGACACGAAATGCGCAGGTTTGTTCCCGAAATCGGCGGTCAGATTTTGATGGAGGCAAAATACCAGAGGTGAACCCCAGGTGATTCAAATTATCCAAAGCCGCCTTCCACTATATGGCTCTTCGGGATGTTCGACCCCGTAAAAAAACAAGCAATGTATTTAGAAAAAAATTGAACGCACCAAGAAAACGTACTCTTTCCAATTTATCATGTTCGCGGACGAATCACCTGAATGTCTATCGTTAGTGCAGGGAAGACAGAAACAAAAGACAATCAGTCTTCAAGCCTTATATGTATACGCCGAGCATATCATACAGTATACAAATCATCGTTTGTACATCTCAAAGCTTACATGTGAGTAGAAGTATTTCAATGAGCTTGCTTCAATGAGCTGCTATCGTTTTTTGGCCACGTCAGGATTCACGACCAGCGTATACTGCGTACGTCTTTGTTGCAAGTTTTAGCCTCCCACTGATACGAAGAATAGGACTCAAAAGGAATTCATGGATTTGCACGCAATAGTTATTGATGATATCTTAATGAGAGAAGCAATGATCACTACTGTAATGTTAAATCTATCTGTAATGAAGTATCCCGGCGCGACATTCGGAATAGAATCTGAGAAGGCTTCGGAGTTCCCGGTCAGCGTTCCTGTATAAGCTCCAGCGTTATACGGGAGCGTACACAATGGCGCTGTTTCTGGTCGCAAGAACATACTTCTAGCGAAATTAGTTGGAGTTAAGACTCTGAGCATTCTCAACAAGCAGGGAAAAATGAAAGAGGCTACCCGGTTTCACAGCCACTTAAAAATCACTCTTCCCGGGCTTTGGCTTAGGCGTGGACCCGCTGTACCATAAAGCTTGGGTATGAAGACATCAGCCATAAGCCACAGTCATGTCGTGGCGCTAATGTGGCCCTGATGTTACAGTGTACTATAGTACAGTCTACTGAGGGTGCGCGCATCGCTTTTTTTTTCACGTGCAGTATATACCCAGAAGAGGATTTCTGCTGCAATTTCACCGCCAGTATACCTGAAATCACCAACACACCAGGAATGTCTTACGCAGGCGGCCGAATAGCAAACTGCTTTTCTACTACATGCAGGCATCAAACTCGGTAGCTGACATTTGCATAGTACAAACCACAGAATTTATCATTATAATCTGCCATGCCGGCATTGTCCGCTGGTTCACATGATCTTTCCCGAAATTAAAAATTAGACTGCCGTTGAAAGTTGTAGTTAAAAAATACATAGTGAGCTCAGAAAACAAACATGTAAATAAAGAATGCAACGCCACGTTTAAAATGGAAGGGGAACGAGGTAAACATCAAGACAGTAAGAAAGCATTGTTTAAGCGTTGCGAACATTCCTTCTAACAGGAAAAACAAACAGGGAAACGCGTGTCCACGGTGCAGTACTTTTAGCAAGGTCAAAAGCACTGTCACCACTTTTATGTGCCCTTTGCCGGATAAGTGTGCGTCTCATAATACCGACTACATAATTAGGGTGACGAAAAAGCGATCATATTAAAAAAATGCGGCCGATTTGCGTGCGGCTCTTGACTCACGAAAACTTCTACGTCTGACCGTCACAAACAAGCGCATTATATATGGCTATTAGATAAAACAGGTTACGTACTTTACGTACACTGTTTTGCCGAATGATTTTACTGGATCATTCAATTAAGGGGGCATATACGAAATTTGAAGAGAAAAGCCACATAAACCCTGGTTTGTGTTTTTCGAAAAGCCCATGGAAGCGAAGAACATCTTTGTGTATATCCACTCACAAATGCAAGCAACTTCAAACTCACGAGCTGCTAGTTTTGTAACAATATAATTACAAGGGGCATCATGCAGCTTCTGTGCAACTCCCCAAAGGCCTATAGTCACGTCGACGTGTGGCTCAACGATTACAGAATCTGCTCAAGCTATAAAACGTGTAGCATCAGTGAGCGATTTTTTTTTACACTAAGTAGCAAAGGGATGTCCGTAGTCCCTTCACAGTTTCTCGAAGTCACGTTGTGCACAATTAAGTTAGAGTGGAGCGGCTACAGAGCAAACGAAAGAAGTCTATATACTCGTGGGCGACACAGTTTTTGAGAGCTGAACGACAACACAGTATAATGCGCTTTCACGGAGAAAGCATACTGCTCGTACAGGGCCATAGTGGCCGGGAAAATGTCATCCGCGCATGAAGAAAAAGGAAAAGACATGAAGAAAGCCTTGCTGCCGTGTTCACCTGTGCAGAAGAGCGCGGTCAGTGATGGCCATCGTCATGGAAACGAGAAACTTCGTGGTCAACAAATGGCCCCTTTGACTCGTGACTCGAACGAAAGTGAAACTAAAATTATTGCTACTCGAATCAGCGCTCACTGTCAGCAGAAACGGAAGTTCGGCACGATTTTGCGGAAAGACGGCAGAAATTCTTAATTATCTTAGCAAAGAGTTACTGAGCAGTCGCGCGTGAATATTTAGCGGTGAGTGTAAGTGACACGACAGAATTTCCACGCTTTGCACGAACTTCATTTATTTTCTTTGGAAGATTTGGATCCTTCACTGCCGGCGTTTTTTATTTTCCCCTCTGTAGAGATGTTATTTTCTTTTCTCTCGCGTCAGTTACAGACACGCTGTTCGAGACGGTGTCAAAGTTGCAATACTCGGAGAGAATACTCCATGGGGGAATAAATTATTTCGTACGTACCTCAAGGGCAATGACCAGCCATCCATCCGGCTTTCGGCGCCTAGCGAGCCGTACTTTGCCTCCGAACGGCAGATTGTCGGCGCCTTCATTTTCTTTGGCGACATATCGCTTTCCCTGCTTCGACCTGCGCCTCGCTCCTGTCATGTTGGCTTCACCACGCTGTCAGAGAGAGAGCGCCGACAGTCTGCCTGGCTCTGGCGCGGCTAGATGGCGCCACGGGCGCTCAGCGGCAAATCGAAAATGGCGGCTGGTGGCGTAGCGGCAGTTGCTGCGTAAAGTTGTAGATAAGCGGTCGCCGAAAGCGGTCGCCGATCTTCCTCGTAGTAACCTTGTCCTAGAAGAGGCGGCGGCGCTTGCCTCCTGCGCGTACGCAGTTTCATCGCATCGCATCCAGCGGCGGTGCAGCGGAAGCGCTAGATCACGAGAACTTCGGACGCGGATCCCGCTAGCATCATGAACGAAGCTGACAGCCCGGCGGGCAAGCGTCCCATCTTCGACGCTTCGAAATTTCCCTTGGGCGATGCGAAGATTTTGCCAGGTCAGTGGCCACGAGATGAGGGAGGAAGAGCGGAGGATGCCGAGAACTAAGTTAGGCGCTATTCTCGCTCTCTCTACATCTGTTTATTGCTATCGTGGAGTTTCTATACCTTGGGCGAATTCTTACTTTTCGAGGGGCTCGCGTCTCGGGAAAACCCCTCCGGTGTTGTCACTGCCATCGACACGTATTTAGCAGCTTGTTGCGTGCCCGCGGTCCAAGTTGGCCGCGGCCACGTAATGGGAGTGAACGGGTCGGAGCTGGCTTTTCTGACTAGTGGCATTTGTCGGGATGTGTGAAGCGAAAATCGAAGTAGAAAATATGCGCTGCTCGTTGACAGCGAGATGCGCCCTGGATCGGCCTGTTACAGTTCGCCAGGAATCCAAGATGTTTAATGGATAGGAAAATGTGGGAGCGGGCTAGTTGGTATTCCATGTTTGTGTGCGCTTCAGCCGCAAAATTGAAATAATCAATAGCAACCTGTTATTATTTAATATCGTACGCGATCGATTTCTTTTCCATACGGAGTGTTTCCAAAAGCGAGTACTTCTTCTTTTCAGCAGTATCACTTGGAATAGTTCGGTTCTTCTCGCTTACTTTTGTATGGAACAGCCTTAATTTGTTTCAGAAGGGTTCACGTTTGTTTACGCCTTGCATATTAGTGTTTGCCTGAAACTTACGGCGATAAAAAGTGTAACTCAAAAGAATAATAAGAAGGAACAAAAGATAACTGCCTCTATGGTCGTAACACATGATGATATTATACGTTATGACTTAAAAACAAGAACCGAACGGTGGTCTGTGCTTTCGTAGTAATTATTTGGGTATGCATTAATTAGGACGTTTAGCGGCTTAGCGAAGGTGGTTGCTACTATTGTTCCTTAGATTTTCACTCATCTACCGATACGAACAGAAAGATCCCAGCCCCACTAGTGTACTTGGCCTGCAACTCGTAACATCAATGATAGCCCGTTAACGTATGGAGCGGCCGCCTTCCGTTGTGTGTGCGTGTTTGTGCGTGAGTGCATGCGCACGCGTGGCTTTACGCTGCTGGCGTACACTGTTCGCTAAAATTATCTGTCGTTTATTAATAGAGAGTTTTTACTTTATGGTGCATATTGCATTTGTCGAATCTTAGTCGGTGACATATTCATTTGGAAAAAAAGAAATATGAGAGGGTCGCGGACTCAGAGATAGGTGCCAAGAAATTTGTGGTATAAGTGCACTGTTGTTCTAGTTACTTTCTTTCAACGTATTGCCTTTTTTCATTGAATCGCAAAAGTAACCACGATGCTTATTTTAATCGCACACTTTGGTACTGAATATCGCAAAGCTGGTATCTCCATGAAAGTTCATTCAGTTGAAAATTCGCTGATATATAAATTGTATATTGCGGCATTTTCCTACACTGTGTAATTAAATAGCTAATACGTAAATATTATCTAGTATTCGATTGCGTGTTGGAAGCTGAAGCGGGGTAAATTATTTTACGCTGTGCGCAACCAGTGTCCGCCGGTGGGAGTTATTAAGCTTGCCTTTGACAGATATATCTCTCACAAACCATTTCTGCAAATTTAGTATTGTTGTACAAAAAATCAAAATGAAAAAAATTAAATAATGTGCAAACGCCGCCTCCTTTTTCTGTACAACTTGCGTCGTTCAAGATAAGGCATAGTAATTTCTTCCTCAAGTGGCATGTGTTTCCTGTGTTGTAACTCCAGTTTTTTCACCCTATTATTTTATATATAGTTCGTGCGAATTTTCGTCATTCCTAAAGAACACATTTACTCGTTATCATCCCTGGTAGGTCATTCTGTATGGCACATTTTTTGAGTATGCTCCATGACATATACCATACACACCATGTGTCTGAATGTCCTTGTTATACTGAGCAGTTATAAAAATAAGAGAAAAAAAAAGCACACACAGAGCTATTTCGAGCCGTTTTCAATCGAGGGTCCACGTTCGACCATCACCAAGCATGTGTGCACTTATCACATAGTTTCGTGACCAATCTGAGATAGCGCGCCTACTAATATATCCACGGGTATCTTAAGGACATCGACCAATCGCAGTGCCCGCAACGGCGCTCAAATAAGCCTTTTCTTTTTGCTTCCTTTTTTAGGCGTTCCGATAAGCGAAATTGTCCACGATTTCGTTGGTGTCATGATTGGATATTATATAACTGCTCTGTGGGTGGCTCCGTCGTATTGGGAAAGTTTGATATGGTTGTCATTTGGTAACTTTTTAATAGAGCGCTAAAAATGAACGCGTCGAGCAATTTGCGAAGTGCACGCAACAGCTTCTCTAATTGTTCCACTTGGAACAGACTGCGCGATCTCGCGATCCATCGCACTATCTCGATTGGATGCACCGTTGGTTCTCGTGAATCGTTATTCGCGAGTCCTATTCTCTAATGAATATTGGCTTGTCGCAATATACGTCCTTGACGGCACTTTTAGGTGAAAGACGCTTGCTTGCCCGGCTGTAAGAAGAGCGAGGTCTCATTCCAAATATCCATTGATTCTGTTCTATTACAATTACGTATATAACCAGTTCGTTATGAATGTGTCACCCTGGAGGTTGCACAACGGAGCGCTGAATAGGAATCCGTGGAATCTTGTGACGGCTGCAGGCGAAATAATTTAGACAGGTTCGCCTCGGTAAGTGCACGAACTTGCATTTCGCCTATATTCTTGGACCCTAAAGACAGATGATTTTGTAATGATCCGTTAGGCTCTCGATTCTACGCTAGCCGCATCCTTCACTCCTCGCTGCCAGCTGGCCCCGTTGATATAACGTAATACATGGACCGTCGCACCGACTACTGTCGAACCGCGGAGACATTAGCATCGGAAATGGCAACGCGACAAAATACCGGCCTTCGCCAGTGGTGCGAATGGCGCTGCGCCCGTGTTATCGCCGTGATCAGACGGCCGGCCGTGAAGAGCGGCTGATAAGCGTATATATCGAGAGAAGCGAATCCTTTCAATGCGAATTTCGTGGCCGTTTGACGCGGGCAAATACAAATCCAGACATGTTTTTGCTTTGACGGCTGCACGAACGCCGAGCTTGACGTATCCAATAGTTTTATAAAAGGCGTGTTGTTTTTCACATATAAATAACGGGGATATAAAAGGGATTGTTCGATATACGAAAACAAGTTGTCTTAGCGAGCTCATTATTGTAGACCGCGTGCAGTGTGCCGGTCGCCTTGCTTCCTGTAGGAAGGCGCAAGCCTTACAAGCCTCATCAAACGCGAAATTTGACCGTCAGCGGCGTGCCGCCTCGTGGCGTCAACACGAGGGATGAAAAAAAAAAAAAACCATGACGTCACGACATGACGTTAAATGGCGTCACATAACGACGAAATTTGTGACATAATCATGGTTTCACTGTGTCGTCATCACATGACATCTTCCCTCTGTCACAGGTGGCCCGATCAAGAAGGCAGTGCAACGCCGGCTATAGGTGGCAGCACAGTCACCGCGCTAGTGTGGATAGGCGGCCGGTGGCGTGCATTCAGATGTACGCTGCGGCGCTTCTTTCTGAGTTGTGTGAGCTGATTGCTGCTTTGACTGCAGCCTACTCGTAGTTCCATTGACGAACGTTACTATATATCACTTGTGAGAGAAACGCAACCTGCCATTGAAAGGGATGCTCGCGCTCGGCGATTGTCTGCGTTTTTCGCATCATGTGTTACGGTTGTTGTCGATCTATTTGTAAGCGCTGAGTTTGTGCCTCGGCTACTACGCACTGCTGTAGTGCGACTGAATTCAATCTTTGCTTCATGCACCCTGGCCGTGAATACTAAAAAAAAAAAAAGAGAGAAAGAAAGAAGTCCCATATTCTTTGGCGATGACAACCGCGAATACGCATCCGCATTTTCTCGCATTCATTTTTTCACGAAATGAACGCAGGGAAGTTGATAAGTTTATTCAGGAAAATTACGTGGATGATAGTTCACCACGCAGCGTTCTCCGATTGATTATATGCATGACAGTGATGTAACAAAGTTTCAGTTATTGTATGGGACACAAGTTTTTTTTTTTTTTTTTTTCAAGCGAAGAATGTCCGATACTGCTGTCAGTCTATAACAACGCCACAAAAGCGCTCAATATGGTGTAAGAAGAAAAAAAAAGATGCTTTTCTTGAAATTATACGACATAACTGCTAGCCACGTCGTCTCGATTAATTTTTTATCATCTGGATTCCTTAAAAGCAAGTCCAAATCTAAGCAGAAAAGCATTTCTGTGTAAATTTCGCCCAATGTTAAAACTGTGCACGGCAACTCAAGTTTAATCAACTCTTTCTTATTCTATTTCCTGTTTTTTTTAAAGGACAATTTATGTGCCGGAGCGTAAAAAATTACTAGACAAATATTTCGCTGTAGTGGGACTAGGACCGTACAATAAAAGGTTATCTCAAGTACAATTAAAGGTCGTTCGATAAGTAAAAGCGAAGCAGCTAGACACCTAATAGCAATGAACTACTTCTTTTACCACTGAGTCCCCAAATCACTACATTCAAAGAATATTTGCTACTCCTCATGTTTGAGGCCACGCCAAGTGCTCTTTACGATGTGGTTAGCCTCTCTGCCTTCTCTCTTGTTGTTCGTCTCCCCCCCCCCCTTCCGCTTCAACCAAAAAGTGACACCTAAACCGACATGGAGAACAGAGGGTATGACGACAATACACATCACCCTCGACAAGGGCCCAAACTGATCTTATTGCAGCGTATATACAGCCTAAAAAGGCCGAATGTGTTTCCAGATCGTGCCAGGCAAACGTACGAACAGTTAAACTAACAAAGCGGGATAAACCACCCTTTGAGGACGAGCATGATTCACGCGCACATGCTGGCCTTCTCTGGCTAGCAGACAACGCTGGGAGCAATCCACACTAGGCTCGCTTCAGCTGTGGCCACCAGACGGCGACTCCGCTCGATCTCGGGGCGAGAAAACTTGCAATGCTTTCAACCCTGGGGACAGTGCAGAACCACGC